ACCTGTTTAAGTTCGTTCAGACTGTTTCGTTATTCAAGCGTGGACAAATGTTTCTCTCACGTTTGTGCCCCACCACGGTTGACTACCTTGGACATACTCCAAAAATTGCTCAGCCTGAATACTGAATAACTGTCTTAAAATAGTTTCCACTAATCGAGCACACTTCTAAACGAAGTGTTAAACTGAAAAGCGACTTAGGACCCAGTCAGCTCTCTCTGCTCTTAGTTCTGCAACCACAAATCTCTCAAATATTTGAATTTCTCTGCGCAAACTTAAAAATAAAAGTTTTGAATATTCATGTTGTTGGAAAGGCAGTAATAATTCTTCGGTTCAACCAGTCGTAGATCACGTCACAGAAAAACATAGCGCTCCATTTCTTCCATGGATGCCGACTGGCGAATGAAATTTCTTTCGTAAAACAATCTTGTTCTCATCAGATCTATGAGGCGTTGAAATATCAGGGTAAAGAAAGGTTTCTTCAACCATTTTCCAAACGGTGATTTCGCTTACCAAAAGGAAACAGCTTTTTCCCTGCTTTCTTGGGTACAAGTGACTGGCTCTGATGTGGTTTTTCACAGCATTATTGAGTGTAACATCATGCCACGAACTTTTAGTTGATAATGTCATTGCGCTGAAGCGTTCCTTAACACTCACAACGTGTTTTTTGTTTTCAACTGATCACAGGTTTCCCCCGCTGAATGTTCCCACCTTTGATACCGAACCAACTGTGTTCGCATAAATTAGGATGTGAAAGGAAAACTTTTCAAACTGATCGATTAGGGAAAAGTCAAAGGGTCAAATTGCTAAGTAACTTAACTGATCATTCTGGACGTTCCGGATGTGACATGTGACATTCGTTACAAGTGTAACCCACGTGTAGCCTTACCCACCCTACCCCAAGGTGAAACGGAAGCGAGGGAGTTAAAAACCGCTGAACATCAACTTCTAACAATCTAATATGGCGTCTCTTCCCTTCGTGGGAACGTTAGAGTCAGATGACGATGTAGACCAGTTGGATAACGAAAGTGATAGTGAGGAAGAAACAGAAAAGGTAGTTTGACAATAGGCTTAAGACCTCTTAATGTGAAATAATGTTTGACAGTGATTGGTTTGCAGTCTGTTAGGAGAAGCAGAACTAAGAAGAAAGGAAATTTGTCTTTTGATGATGATTTCAAGTTCATTTCTGAAGGGGGGCTTGGAGATAACAACGAAGATCCGTGGAATCTGGATGCAGCAATTAGATTTGCAAAATACAAACAAGAATCAGTGAGTTGATGATCTAATCTTGATAAACATATGAAGAGCCGGTGATTCCATAATTTGTGGTTCGACAGCGAACACGTGCAGTGCTCTCGTGTTCAGGGTTATGCTGCATAAATGATGTCTGAAATGTAGCGTTTCATCAGCTGTCGCGGTCATTTTGTGGCCGATTGAGATGTTTCCCGTCTATATTATTTGTTACAACTTATTTTTATCACAATTTGTGGTTCGACAGCGAGCACCTGCTGTGCTCTCGTGTTCAAGGTTATGCTCTATAAATATTATACTAAAATATGGCGTTTCATTTGCTGCCGTGGTCATTTTGTGGACGACTGAATTGTTTTCCATCCTATATAATATTTTGTAACTACAACTTGTTCTGATCGGAATTAAAGTCGGAATATATATGGCGGGTGAAGTTCCGACCAAGGGAATTGTACGAGGTTCGTGTTGTTCATAGTAAGACCTGTCTACACGAGAGGTGCTCCTTTAATTTTGTTTTCTTACGTATCTCGCTAGCCACAGAAAATGCACTGATTGAAATATTGAAGAAAATTATTTACAATGTTTGTAAAAATATTCTCGCACGTCGGTGATGCTCACTGTTCGTATTGAGTTCACTGGTTGAAGGACTACAGTCTGTCTATTTGTTTTTTTTGTTTGTTATTTTTTTGTTAGAATAATAATTCATCAAGCCTTCAAGACAAAATAGTGAAGAGAAGAGAGTTAAAGAAGCAGGTATGCCTTACAGGTGTTGCTTTAACAGAGGATGATAGGGTATTTTTGTAAAAGGGCAAGGGGAGCAATTTTTTTTACTCTGTCATTTACGTGTGCAAATTACAAATAGCACACACTGTCAAAATTTTGTTTGTCTTTATTTGCTGTGAAGTTTTTTTCATGTAAATTATTCATAAGTAATAATATAATATCTTGTGCAAAGTGGTGAAAATAATTTCACATGTCTTACAGGCTCATGTAATTTTGTTGTCTTTGAAAAATTCACTTGTGCTTATTGACACCGAATTGCATGAGAAATCATGTTATTACCTATACTTTTCACAGATGTCATCCATTCAACACTTGATGACAGAAGCCAGCTTTTTTCCAACTTGATTTAACCCTCATACTACATGTATGTGATCACTTGCATGTTTATAATAACAGTGAATTGTAGTTTGCTTAAAATACTGCAGTTGTAACAACTTTAACAAATTTTTAGAGGAAATCAGAGAAGGAGAACTTACTTAGTCAAACTATAGTTGGGGAAGAAGATGACATCAAAAATCAGAGTAAAGGGAAACAAGAAAAGGAGATGGAAGGGAATGGTGTGAATAACATAGGTGAGTAACATTTCTGTGATGCATATAAACTTTAATTTTAAACTGATTTGTAGGTTGGGTTAATGTTACTGGAGCAGAGCAAAATTTCAGGTCATGTTGGTTTAAAATTATAGTTTGATTACAAGTAAATTTCAAGCTGCAACATCCTTATGTATTTTGTACATGTACTTTAAAATTAATGTTAAAATATGGTTAGTTTAGATTTGTAGGTCTAATAAATGAGGTAGCACACGAGTCAATGGAAGAGAGGGAAAAAAACTGATTTAATCTGAAATTCATTTTAAATTGTAAAATGCAGCAACTGAGTGTAGTTGTTTTGATTTTCATTTTTTTTTATGATTTAAGTTTCTTGCTAATCTGCCCTTTATTAAGCATCCTGCTCATTTTTTTTCATCTTTTCAATATTTTGGGTTGCTTGTTAAATAAACTTTTCCTGCTGGAAAATACTCATTTTTGGCTGTTTTAAGCCCTTCTAACAAACCTGCTTAGTTGTGCAACTATGTACATGTATGTATGGAATAATCCCTCCAATCTCAACTCCCAAGGGAAACAAAAAATGTGGGATTTAACAGGGGTTCAAGTTAGCTGGTAGTAAATAACTGAAAAAATGGAGTTAAGAGAATCAGATCTTGAGAAAGTTACCGGGAAGTTTGACTCAACCCAGTTAAGTGAACAGGGTTCTACTGTATATTGTAACTTACTATTGTTGTTGATCTAGGTAACTTAACACCTCAGTCACAGTATCGATACACAATGTTTATGTGCACTACACTCTACAGCTGTGGTATTGCTGATCAGAGAAAGATATTTATCATTTTTTTCTGTAGACAATTCCATGCAACATTCAGATGATGAAGACAGCACTTCAGAAGATGAAGAAACTATTGATAAGGTATGTGTAAATGTTAATCCTCTAACCCTGAAGAGTGACTAGCATCTAATTTCTTTTTACAGTAGTACCCCTGAATCATGCACAGAGGTCATGAGTATAAAGAAAATTATCAGCTAAAGAAGCTGTTGATTGTTACACCAATTCTCCTTGTCAGCACCCTAGGGAATGTATGGAGAACAGTATGGAGAATACCTTTGCTGATTTTATGGTGTGGAGGATTAAGGCATTTTCTGAATGTTCCTAGTTTGTAGGATCATATCAAATTGGACATAGAAAAAAATTGGTAAATCATTGTTCAGACACTTAGTTGTAGCAGATACATGTAGAGTTTATTAGGTGTATACATTGGTGTTTCTCTTTGACAAACATCTAGCAATTAATACAATGTAAGTTTTCCAAACTGTTTGCAAACCCTAAATCAAGGTTAAATTTAGGACATGGCACAAGAATATAAATGAATGGTTTTAAGAAATTATTATCTTGTTAGTTAGATATTTCATTTGGTAAACCCAATTTGTTTGCAAAGAAATATATATTCTTGTTAATAAGAATAAGACTAAGGAGTTTTGGAGTATGGTATATGCAGAGGTGAAATGTCTTATTTGGATTGTCACGGAGATCCTGTGGGACTTACGTGCATTACAGAAGGGTTGGTTTGAATTGATGGAGAGGTCTTAAAATTTATGTTCTGATTTATTTTCAGGTTATTGAGAAGAAAAATAAGTTTTTTGAAGAACCTCCACCTCAGCTGAAACATCAAAATTTTGCAACAATGAACTTGTCAAGACCTTTATTAAAGGTAATATATGAACATCTTTGCATGCTGTCTTTAAATAAAGACTGTCACTTTTTTATGTCTGTCAAGTACAAAGCTTTAAATTGCTGCAATTTGTTGGTAATGAGTATGGGGCTGTTTGTGTCAGAGCACTTTTGTCAACACTTTGTTTAAAATTTGGTCTTGGATTAAAGAAAACCTTCAAACCCCTTGAGCTGTAGGCTTTTTAAAATTTCTTCATCCTACTACATATGCATATGTATTTAATTTATACAGTTTGAATCAAAGGAAATGACACAAGGTAACAAGTTGAGAAAACTTGAAAAGCAGAGGAACATTTGTACCACAAGATCTTTCATGAAATTTTACAGTAAACTGAACCTATGAAAAATCCTCACAGATTATCCCCAGCTCAATCTGAATGCTAGAAGGACAGTAATCATGTTGTGCTTGCAATTGTGTAAAAAAATTTGGTCAGTCCATGCACTTGCCTTTGTAATTGGAAGGTACTCATCATTTGCATTTGTGCTGTTGTGTACATGTACATGTACATCTGCAGACTATTGGGGTCATTCTCCAATGGTAATCTATAGTAAGCCAGTTGCTCAAAGGGGGATACCTCTATCTAACTGATAAATTGCTATTCAGTGGATAAGTGTTAACAGAACATACAGTGCTATCCTTTGGTTAGAGATTGACCTCAGTAGATAGCATCATCCACTGTTCAAACAACCAGGTCCAGGGCCCAGTTGTATAAAGGGAAGATAACACTATCCAATGGATAAATTGCTATCTGGTGGAGAAGTGAGAGAACAATGTACTGCACTTTCCACGGGATAGAGATTTATCCAGTGAATAGAGTTAACATAGCTTCAAATAACCAGGGCCAGACCTATAGTTATGTCAACCAATGGGTGTTTGTTTCGCACATTTTGTCATAGTTTTGATTAATTGGAAACAGGACTTTGTGTCATCCAATTCATTCAGCAATGATACAGTGTACTCCTTGTGAAGAAACTGGACTCCCATTTTGCAGTCATTCAATTTCTTTGGTAATCACTGGTATAGACTGAATATTAGACTACTGTACATGTATACTTTATCCTATTATGGGACCACAATTTACGTGACTGTGTATTTCTCCAGGCTATAAATGAGTTGGGATTCAATCACCCCACACCTATCCAGGCATCAACTGTTCCAGTGGCCCTGATGGGTAAAGACATCTGTGCATGTGCAGCTACAGGAACAGGTTGGTAAATTTGCAGCAAATTTAAGCTCAATTCGATGATTTTCAAGACTTATCGATTAATGAAATATGTGAATTATAGTAAGAAACATTTTTTTTATTACTCATCATTCAACTAGATGTAGCTGTCTTGTCATTTGAATCTTTTAAATTGTTATTAAAATTTTTCCTTTTTTTAAGGTTGAAAATGGTTTTTTTGAACCAACATCTGGTCAGATTTTTTTAGGCCTCTAATGGGTTGATTTCAAATTAACAGCCACCTGTTTTCAATGTTGTTTTTACAAATTGACATTTTCTGCATATTTTTTCGGTGCCTACCCATTCAGGTAAGACAGCAGCCTACATGCTTCCAATACTGGAGAGACTGATTTACAGACCACAACAGTATGCCATGACAAGAGTGCTCATTTTAACTCCCACCAGAGAACTTGCCATTCAGGTAAAGCAGATTATAAACTATGTAACTGTTTGCACTTTTCATTTCTATGAACCACAGGTATGTTACTGGTTGATAATAATTTTTTATATTGAGAAATGAATGTCTAGTCACCATTTTCTCTCAAAATATACGTAGAGTTGCTAGCAATAGAGAGCTTGGCAATTACAATTACTGTATTATCACAATTGATAAGGATAATGAGACAGAAGAATTAAACGTTCATATTTTGTGGTTACCTTAATAAACAAATGCATAATTCTCAACAATGTTGAGGACTTATGGTTGTTGAAAGGCACATTTTCCAGATTGATTTAAATTGTAAAACTGTAAAACTAATGTATTAAGGGCACTTGAGTGAGCTGAGTTGTCATTCACTCATCATTGGCAAAATACAGTATAATCACAATATACAATTTACAATGAAGTCATTTTGTTTCATTTACACTGTGACTATATCTTGCCTGCTTTGCTGAACACAATTTTCGTTAGCAGTAATAGGATACAATGTTTGAACTTTGTGTTGTACAATGATCTGATATCAGGTGAAAAAAAATTAAGTGTAGATGATCCAGTTGCATTAACAGGTGGTTGTTACAAATTTGTGTCTAAGTGAACCTACATGTGTATGTTGTGAAAATTTACCCCTGTTTTTCATGGTATCATATGGCTGAAATGAGGGCATTTTTTTTCTTTTTTATCATTTTGAAGGTGCACTCTGTGACCAAAACCTTGTCCAAACACACAAACATCCAGGTCTGCCTGGCCACAGGTTGGTGATGTTATTTATTTATTCATTTGTCATTTTCATTTATCAGTTATATATTTATTGTAAGTTTTTGTTTATCAGGGTATTTTAAACCTTTAGACAGAGTGCAAATTAAGTTTCCGTAAATCATGTTGAATTTATAGTGTTGATCAAGTTACTGGTATGCATTAAAACAAGTTCTATAAGGTGACAAATCTTTCCAAAAATAGGATATACATGTACACATGCAGTGCACACTTTCTGATTATGTGCATGTAGGTCAGTTGTGCAATATTACACCATCACCTGATAGCAGAAGCTAAGATTTACACTGTTTATCTCTCTAATACTGTACATTGGACTTTCTACTGCTTTGTCCATGCTGGTTTTCTACTAGTGCAAATATTCTCATGTATCAAAAAAGGAACATACACAGATTTAAGAGTTTTCAAAATTGGCCAGCAACTGGTGCAATGTACAGTCTACTCTGAAAAACACACCAGCAATTCTAAATGCTTGCATATCAAAATATGATAGAAATAAAACTGTGCAGTGCCGCCTACTGTGTATTGCAGTTACTCAAAATGTTTTTGACCACCCTGCAGACTGAGAAAAAGCAAGACAGTCTTTTGGTTAAGAAACACCTGATCTTTTTTTATTCCCTCCTGTAACACCATTCAGTCAATGTCCCTCATAAATGTTTTACATCTATGTTCAAGAGGATATAATATTCTTTGCAGGTGGTTTGGATAGTAAGGTTCAAGAAGCAGCATTGAGGAAAGGACCTGACATTGTGATTGCTACACCTGGGAGACTTGTGGATCATCTGCATAACACTCCTTCATTCAGTCTACAAACTGTGGAGATTATTGTCCTGGATGAAGCTGACAGGTACACAAGAGAGACGAGTCAGTCAGTCTGTTTGACAAACAGACATACTAAGGGACTGATGACTGATTGACTAGTTGTTTTGTTGGCTTATGTGGACTGTTCGACTGCCAGACTTCATAACTGAATGACAAGCTGAAAGTTGATTGAGAACGAACCAACAGACAGGCTTAGAGACAGATAGATACACAGACAGACAGGTAGACAGACAGAAAGACAGACAGACAGAGGCAATGATGGACAGATGCACAGAAGGGTAGAGGAATAGACAGATTTTTTGCTCCGATGCTCAATTACTGTGTCACTGATGAACCAGCAAGGTCATATGCTTAGTTGTCATCTTTCATGTAGGTATATTGAGATGGTGCGTTGTTTATGTGTGTTTCCGTAGGATGCTTGATGAGAACTTTAAAGATCAGATGGAAGAAATTGTCAAACTTAGTCCACGAGGAAGGCAAACAATGTTGTTCTCAGCTACCATGACAGACGAGGTAAATTATGATTCATGGTAAAAATTGTATAGTATCATATCGTATTATACATTGTAACTTTACATGTACGTAAGCCTATAATGTTTCAATTTACAAAGCAGTTTTACAACTTCGGGTATAATTGTTTGCAGAAGTGCCATGTAATCCTTTAAACCCCAAGTGTGACCAGCATCTAATTTCTCCCTACAGTAATACTGCTGAATCGTTCATTAAGGTTATGAGAATAAAGGAAATTATAACCAACTAAAGATTCTTTGATTTTTATTCAAATTCTCCTTTTTGGAACCAAAGGAAACCTGTAGAGAAAAGTATGGAGAATGTAGATGCTGATGTTAGGGCGTAAAAGGTTAAGTTATCAGTATATGCACAAGTACAACCTCCATTACAATGCCTCTTGATTTTCACTCTAGGTGGAGGAACTTGCAACTCTTTCACTGAATCAACCAGTGAGGCTGTTTGTGGACAATAACACAGACGTGGCCCACAACTTGAGACAAGAGTTTGTAAGGATCAGGAACAACAGGGAGGAAGACCGTTTAGCTATCGTGACAGGTGCTATAAAGAAGACGGGCAAACCAGAACTGAAACGTACATGTAACGAGAACTATCGGCTGACTGTTCGCCGTTTGTCGACCAACAGTCGGCCCGCAAACGGCCAACAGTCGGCCGACAGCTGGCCGATAGACGACCGCAAATAGCGTTTGGGAACTTTTCTTCACTTTTTCCCCAAAACCAATCAATTAAAAGAAAAAAAAAAACAATAGAGACAAATTAATTAAATGTCAAGGAATAAAACAATAAACACTTGAAAATTGTCGGAAAAAATAATTTATTCAAAATTCAGCAACTGTTAGATGTACGTTGTTCTTAAAAGTATCTTTAAGCTTTCCCCTATAGTCAGCAATCTTTATTCTTTAATTTTCCTCTTTTCCCCTGTGATGTACGTTTTCTTTTCACGTAGAATAAAATTGAATTCAACATTTTTTGTTTATTTTGTACATACAATTTAATTTCAAATCATTTACTTAAATTTTCTTGCAGCGCTTTGCAGTCGAACTTTCCAAGAACACTGCCTGGTATTCTTACAAACGAAAAACTTGGCTCACAGACTACGAATCGTCTTAGGGCTCCTCGGGTTGAATGTTGAAGAACTTCATGGGAACTTGACTCAGCTTCAGGTGCGTGACACTTCGTTGTACATGAGTGTTGCGTTACTTTTGGAATCTATTACGTTACTTTTATAGGTTTTGCAATACATTCTGGTTTGATATAAAGTACTGTAATGACATGTACTATACTACTGTTGGTGCGAAGAACCTCACCCTCTTACTTACAAGAGAGACCAATATCTTAATTCTCTGTACAATTTTTATACATCGTCAAATGGACAAATAATAAGAATTGTGAGATTATCAACCATGAAACCAAAGTACCCATCGATACCCAAGAAAAGCCATCGTATAAATCTATTGCTAACAGTCTTGGGGAAAATGTATGGGCCCAGTTGTATGAAGGGCAGTTAACACTATCCAACGGGTAAATCGCTCTCCGGCGGATAAGTGAGAGAAAATCGTATAGCGTGATCCACCGGATGGAGTTTTATCCAGTGGATAGCGTTATCCAAACTTCGAACAACCAGGGCTTAGTTTTCAGCCTAAGGTGTTTAAAGAATGTTTTTGAGAAAACTGTCAGGATAATGTTTAGTGTCGTATAGATGAGCACTTACAGTGGCTTGGGAGACTGGGGGCGGCGGGTCCTTACGGCATGAACTGCAAACTGATTTTTTTTCCCCTTTGCCTTATGTCTGAGTATGTGTACACTGTATGTATACTGTAAGTATAACGTAACCTGTAATTACATACTGTGGTTGGATTTTTCGTAGATATATATGTGTAAATTGAACCGGTTTCCTGCCAGAAAGACAGAAAAAACTCTTAGACAAATGTAACAGGCAAATTTGATAAAATTTGTTAGTATTGATTTTGGTTTACTCGTTTTTGTCACATCAGAGACTGGAAGCCTTAAGGAAATTCAAGGCTGGCGAAGTTGACATTTTATTGGCTACAGATTTAGCATCCAGGGGATTAGATATTGTTGGAGTTAAAACGGTGAGTCTTTAAATATCTTGATGCTTTTCCATTTGAAGCTATAACTTCGCGGCAATTTATTCCCTGAAGCTATGATACATTTTTGGTGCATCACATCTTGATAATTAGGGGTCGGTGAAGATATCTTTTACTTTGAGGACAGGCCAATCCCTTGTTGCACGTTTTTTGTTCATAATTATAAATGTGTTGTACTGAAAATATTGTTGTAATGATGTAAAATCGTCTGTCTCGCGCTGTTGTCGCTTCCGATGTGATTTGCGCCTGATGAAGACCAGCAGCAGGTAGGCGAAACGTTGCGATCCACATCGAAAGTCACGTACATCGTGACACAAACGATAATAATTTTTTTAGTGCATTCGCCACCATGAATGGGCAAAACTTTTTATTCTGTCACTGCAGTTTACACTTATGGTTTATTCTACGCTATGCTAGCGTATTTTTCTCCATGCATTTTGTTCAGCATGGCAAGCATGTCGTGATTGGTTGATGTCATTTCTTTGTTTTGGCTTTGAGAAACTCAAGTGGAAAACTGAGCGCTTTATTCCTCACTCGACAGGTGATAAATGCAAGCCTGCCACCAACAATGAAACAGTACATTCACAGAGTGGGAAGAACGGCTCGTGCAGGACGGAGTGGGAGGTAAAAGAAAAGGGAAAGATTAGAACCACTTCGTCACGTGCTTTGAAACAGTATGTTGGAGAGCTAGGAAAAAAATTGACTGTCCCGTGTAATATTTGCTACGTTTGTAAATCCATCCTTATACCTATAGATCCGTGTCACTAGTTGGAGAGAAAGAAAGAAAATTGCTGAAAGAAATTGTGAAATCAGCAAAGACGCCTGTGAAAAGTAGAATAGTCCCTCCGGGTAAGAATGTGTTTCCGCTTTTTTTTAACATTCGGCTTGTTTATCTATAATTTTAACAACGTTGGATCAAAATTAGTGATTGTTTTTCCTTCTCAGAGGTGATTGAGAAATACAAAGGTAAAATCCAAGGACTTGATAAAGACTTGAAAGAAATTCTAAAACAAGAAAGCGAAGAAAAAGAGGTAGGAGATTCTCAAACTTACAACAAAAACTTGCAAGGGAACAGAGCAATCTCAGAAATTTCCCTCAACACCTTAACCCAAGATAGGCACTTTTTTAAAAAGCGACGGTGTGGTATTCAAATTTTGACTTCCTTTACCCTTTACAACCTAACATTGGTATTCATATTCCCCACACTTTTCTCTTTACATTCCTGTGGTACTGACAACGAGAATTTGTTTGACGATCAGGAGCTTCCTAAATTGGTGATCATTTCCTTTATTCTCATTAACTTTACATCTGATTTAAGAGTGATGTTGTAATGAGAACTTAGAAGCCAGCCACTCTTAGGGATTGAAGGGTTAAACACATTTTTTTTTTTACCTGGCCACCCCATTTACAGAACTTCGGAGTTGAGCTGACATGTTGACACCGATGGCTATATGTCTTTCTTTTTTGCACTTAAACTTCGTACAAATGAAATTATGATTCCAGTTTGCGGGACGCATTTTCGCACCCGTAATGAATCTTAAGACTAGCTAAGTTTTGGTTTGGTGATGCTTGGAAGGAAAATGCTTTACTCGACTGCTTTCAGTTTAAACCGTTTGTTTTCTCTTCAGCTGAGGATCTCTGAGATGGAGATGAATAAGGCACGCAACCTTATAGAACACGAGGAAGAAATTTTCTCCAGGCCTCCTCGAGTGTGGTTTCAGAGCAAAGCAGACTTGAAAAGGAAGTCTGGTGAGAACTTAGAACGGAACTGTGAAAATTCTCTTTCCTGTACAGCCGTATACTCTGAGTGTTTAATGATTTTGTGTATTTGTTGTTGACAGATAAAGCAGCGAATGATCCGGCCAGCAAGAAATCTAAACAAGATAAAAAGAAAAAGAACACAGCAAACGTAAATGAAAGTGTAAGCGTCCTGTATTTTTCTATAGTTCATTACGTGTGTAGTTACAAAAGTGGAAAAGAAGCAAAATCAGCAACATATATATATAACTGTTTGAGGTATTTTGGGCTGTACAATTGTACCACGACACATACAGAAGCCTATACATGTCTGAACCTGTTCATTTGACGTCTCTCTCGCACCAATGGTCACAAGACTATTAAAAGAAACTTTTGTTATGGTGCTGTTCTAGTCAAAGCGATGTCTTATTTAACCCCCTTCGTTAGTTTTCCCATTTAAAGACGTGCATGTATCTATAAAATTAGCCAAGTCATGGCGATACCGAAAAGATCCTAGCTTTTGCAGCTTGCAGTTCAAGTTCAACTCTTTGCCCCATCTCCGCCGCAAATTGCAAAAGACTATTCTTAGTGTGATTTGTCTTTTTGAGTTTTGTTGACCTTCATTTTGCCATGTTAGGAGGAAGACAAAAAGAAACGAAAAGAAGCAGAATTCATCACGCGGGAAGCTAAGAGATCGAGGAAAAAGAAACGGTTACACGCGTTTCCACCGGACAAACCCGACCTCAAACTTAAAGGTTTTTTTTCTGCTTCTCTTTCTACACTATTTCATATTCACCGAAACGTGACGTTGTTTAATGGAACAGAACTTAATGTGTCGTGATACATTGACTTTTTGCGCCTCCTTATTTTCAAGTTGATGGGAAGTCATATTGCTACTGTATACCTTCCTCTGTAGGAAAATCATCGAAGACGAAAGCAACTAACAGTGGTAGCAGTTCACGGCTGAAGGCTTTTGATAAAGAACTTACGGATACAAGTAAAAAGGCGCTTAAAACTTTTAGACAGAGGTTAGCCAGTTTTCGTTTGATAGCGTGACTTTTAGAGGGTATGGAAAGTTCTTGTTTACGACTCGTTGGCTTTAATGAGAATTTGAATGGTAACCAATGGTGGTCCCAGCAAAAGCGACGTGAAATTGACTGCTCATTAGTGGGTGTGACACAATACATTCATTGACTGATCTATTCTTTCATTCACCCATCTATTAATGATTTCAGTCAGTATGGTTGTTTCCAACGGATGTTGACATATATCTACTGTCATTACTTACAGAAATATTTCCTTCTTTATTATTCAGTTCAACACCTGATGAGGCAAAGAAATTTAAGAAAAATCCAGGAAGATTTAAATCCAAGAAAAGGTTTGCCAATTTTAGAGTTTGTTCTGCAAGTTAGCTGTAATCGATTCGAAAGTTTCCTTGACAGATCCTAAAGAAGTCAGTTGATAGTAGAAAATTGATTGACCTTTGGTCTTGTTGAGTTCATTAGTTTGCGAAGAAATTGCGTCCTACTTTATTGGGAACTGTAAACTTGTAAGTGATAATAATTCTTTTACTTGTCATCTGATGTTTCTTTCCCCTCTTTGGTTCGTAAGTTGGACCCTCGTCCCTTTTGTACCGTTCGTTGCTCGTGCGTACGTTTTTTATTCGTTCGTTCGTGCGGTTGTCCGTTTCGTTGTTAGTTCGTTCGGTTGTGTTTTTGTTTGTCTCGTCGTTTGTTCGTTCGGTTTTTCGTTTGTTCTTCGGTTGTTTGTTCGTTAGTTTGTTCGTTTGTTTGTCTCTTCGTTTATTCGTTCGGTTGTTCGTTTGTTTGTCTCTTCGTTTATTCGTTCGGTTGTTCGTTTGTTCGTTCGGTTCGTTCGGTTCGTTTGTCCGTTCGGCTCTTTCGTTCGTTTGTTCGTTTTGTTTGTCAGTTCGTTTGTTAGTTCGGTTGTTAGTTCGGTTGTTTGTTCGTTCGTTCGTACGTACGTGCTTCCTTATTTTCTTTCTTTCGTTTCTATGAATAAGAAAGTACGAAGCTCCACCGTAAACTTTGTTTGCTATCGTGATTTTGTCATAATTAAATTGAGAAAGGTGATGTTTTCATTTCGTGAAACAGGCAAAGATAAAAAATAATGTCGAGAAAAGAGCAGAAGAAAACCCTGGGTGCTGTAAGCAGAAGCCTAAGCTATGACCTTACAATTGGTACTTTGCTACCCCCTGAGTTGACTTCCTCTTGGTTTGTTTTAGGTACAAAAGGAGATGACATACTGTGCAGAGAACGGCGTAAGATGTTAACAGTCTAAAGACTATGACTGTCTGAGAAGATCTTCGCGAATTTAAGTTTGTTACTGTTGACAGAGATAATGATGAATTTTCTCCAGGCAAAAAAAAAAAGGAAAAAAAATGATAATACTAATGTAATATAAAACACTGAAATCAGAAAACTATAAAACATTTTTCATAACTTTATTGTGTCTCTAATGCAGTCTGTAAACGAAATATATGGATGCATTAATTTCCTAGGTCAGGTCACTGTCAGAGGACAGAGATGGGGATAGTGGTATCTGTGGTTATGATGGCGATTTTTGCGTACAATTATTGAGCACATGAGTTGGGAAACTCTTCTCTTTCAAATGCGGTAGTCAGTTCTAAGCATTGCTTCAAATCAAAATTTAATTTAGCACAGTCAATTTGTTTTATCAATATACCGACACGTTTCAGAAACCATGGCAACATGTTGTAATTGCTAAGGCAACGCGCCTTGTTGTCGGAGAGACTCCAACAAGTTGTGTAAAGGACATTTAAGAGTATTTCATTGCTCGCTTAAATCACAGAAGCCAGCAACATCCTGTGCTACCGTCGGTAGAGCCTCCGTCATCGGGTTTTTTCGCTTGTTCTTGCTTTTCAGCATCTTTTTCGGCTTTTCTTTCTGCTTCTCTTTCCTCCACATCAACCTTGATTTCTTGAACTCGTCTTGACTGCGCCACAGAGAAAAACAAGCCCAGTTCTTCCTTCTGTATCGAGTCATCACCGTCACGGTCTGCAAACCTCATAATCATGTCACGCTGGTCACTGATGGTTTTCATGTCTGGTGGCTCCTGAGAGATAAAACAACTCGATATGGTTGGTCACGCAACGTTATGTTCGTGGCGTTACGACTACTGCTTTGACCTAAAAGTTTTTCTTTCTTAATTTCTACTAAATTGACTTTCATTCACACCCAGTTAACTTTACATTATTGGTTTGTTTGTGTGCAAGCCGTAAATTTGTGAATTCTTTTGAAAAAGTTTAGAGGCGATATTTCAAAGTCAGGGATATGTGGCTCAACAAAAAAAGTGTTGCTCTCTGCCCTTTTTTCTTTACCCTTTCCATAAGATTAGTTATCGCTGTTTTCTCGAGCTAACTTGCATTATACTGAACAAACACAAGAAACGAGCTGAACAGCAGGTAAACGCAAAACTGCGCAAGGGAGGCCCCACACCTGTACTGAAGTTAGCTTTCACCAGATCAGTTTTTCTTATTCCTATATCCAAATAATACTGGCTGCGTTCACAGATGGAATGTGACTGGTTATCAGTTTGAGCTCAAAAATAAGTAGGAGAATAGCAGTCTGAAACGCGGTTACAATGTTACATAAAGATAACATTTCTGCTCGAGCATCTCATAAATGCCGCCATTACATTACTATACCTTGTTATTCTTGATGTACAAATCCCTTATGAGAGCATCAAGCTCAGCTCCGCCAATGCTACCATTGTGATCCTGTACAATAGAAATCACTTTTGTAAATAAAGGGGTAGGTTTCTAAAGAAACTGTGGTGCTGCGTCGGTGGGAGAGTACAGCAGGTAATTTAGTGTTAACAACTGAGTTGAAAACGTAAATTAGCCACCGTAAAGGGTAAAAAAGCTGAAGTTTCGAGCGTTAGCCCTTCGTTAGAGCGATAGACGGAGGGCTAACGCTCGAAAAGTCAGCTTTTTTACCCTTTACGGTAGCTAATTTACGTTTTCAACTCAGTTGTTAACAGTAAATTACCCACTTTTGTACATAGATTTTCTGTGACTAGTGAACCTTAGGAAAACAAACAAACAACGACAACGACAACAACAAAAGGGAAGAGAGAAATGTATCGTTAAGTTAACGCGTTTAGTTACCTGATCGTAGTGGTACCAGATTTTCTCAAATTCCGCTCTAGAGAGGTTTTCTCTGACCTGTATATGAAAAGCACGCGAAGGTATAAAGCATTATGATAAGCAGTAAAGAGAAAAACTACTCGATAATCCTTTCGGAATGAGCTCACGTGTAGCTTTCTTACCTGAAATTTTGAAAGAAAATTCTCTTCCACGGGAAGAAGTCTGTAAATGATGAAAAAAAGGGCTTAAACTTCATCTTAAGGGGACGACACATTGCTGCAATAATCTTGCGGTTATCAATCGAATTACAGCCTCTTTTACTGCTTGAGAATGATTGGTACCCTAGACGCTAGGTAAGAGATTTTATTACACATGAGAATAGAATGATTACCTTACACAGGTGGGGTGGGTTCATGAATGGTATTGCCGACGTTACATCAGGGGAGGGACTGTATTTGGAGGAGGGCTTGCTTTGAAAGCCATCCTGAAAAGTTCAGGGAAAAAAAGCTTACAAGGACTTTAATTTTTCTTAGCGTCCCGACTACCCTTGATTTCGGAGGATGGTCTCTCTTGAATAGACAGGCCTCGCTCGTTACCCTCATGATATCGTCCCATACGAAGCCTCGAAAGTACTAGACTTAAAATTTTTTGAAAAGCTTACTTGGCCATTTCTGATAACTCTATCTCTCCATCTTGGTTCTTGTCAAATGAATCAAGCTAAAGTTTAAAGTTATAAAATGAATAAAGAAAATCAAGTAAAGACAAGTACGATAGTGATCCAACGACCAACTAACCATGAGAATCATACATTCTCAAAAAATAGCAAAATATCTACTTTTTATCCTGGTTGTGAAACCGGAAAATAAATTCAACTCTTGAAAAGTTTTAAGCAATGTTCAGTCTGGTCAGGTATCACACTGGCTTATATAGTTCATTTTGAAAAGCTTGTCTCCTTGACAAGCAAGCGAGATGGCAATTACAGGAACTTTTTTTAGATTAGGAAAAGACCCATAAAAATTGCTTTTTTCGAAAAAAGGAAATCTTTGTTTCATTATTTGCAAGAGCTTCTTGATATGAAGTCTTCAAAACTGTGTTAAAATATGAGAGAACACAAAACAACATATGCCAAAGACTGAAGACTTCTCTAGTTCTTCTTAATATAAGCTAGTCGATGAGACAATTATACACAGAGAAAGTTACAGTTACACCATTTCTTTTTCATTTTTGATGTTGAAATAAAGAGAATAAAACAAAAAAGCAAGATATTAACCGCTCCATTAACGAACTCCTCAATTCTTTGTGGACTAACGTGTGGATTGTTTACAGTCATTAGATCTTTGAAGAAACCCTGCAACACAAGGTACAAACATGAGGAAGAAAATTTATTTCATGAGTTAATGCGTTCGAGCTTCGCTCGGAACACAGTTCGCTTCTTGAAAAAAAAATTCATTTTGGCCATTGATATAACTAAGATTAAGTTTATAAATAACATTATTTGGCACATAACAAGCAAATGATCGTTAAAAAATGTTCAAGTAAGCAAACCCGTAGATGCTTTTTCTCCAAGTATCCCTCACGATAAACATCATAATGATTCCAAATCTGAAAAAAACCGGGGTTTTCTTGATCAACATCCTTAAGTAATACACTTAAATACTTTATCAAGACACTCGAGAGACATGGTCATTCTCAGATGAATGCAGAGGAAAGGAGAATAACATTTTTTAAAATATCGGATTACCGTTATCTCTAACGTTAGAGTCACTTGCCGCAACTCCCGGCTGCAACTCAACAAAATACCACTGGTACAGGGGTCATTCACAGAAAACTGACGCATCTTATCACAGAACACGAGCAGTGACTTCCATCTGAATTCTGTATCATTTTTGCCTACCAACCATCGTTGAATTAACTGAATTAACTTTTAATTCCCGTTTTCTTCCCATAATGCAATTATGTTTCCTCTACTCTCGAAAAGGAGCTAACGAGACCTAAGAATGAATGATTTAAGTGACCGTCCTCACCTTCATAAATTCTACACTGGTTAGTTTGGATTCTCTGTGAAACTGGAGAAGAAAATTCTGTTCCGTTGGTAAGATCTGTGCCAACTGCAAACGCAAACGGAACATGGAGATATAGGTTAACAAAGCACCGCCACTATACTTAACAGAGCAGTTTTAAAATTCGAACTTACGATGAAACCAAAAAGCGTCTGCTACCAACCTCGTCAATTTCTAAACGGCCATCGTAATTTTTGTCGTATCTCTCTAAAATAAGCTCTCTCATCTCTTTCACCTTGTCTTTGGCCAAACCCTACGGAAGAGGAAATAAAAGGGAAAAAATCAGACTAATAGCGGAGCTCGCAGAGCGTAGCCCCATAATTATAAAAAATAGTAGTAACCCATCAAGCCGAAAAAATTTGGATGTACGACCGTACGACCGTACAAGGTGCTACTTTTAACATGCGTGGTCAACTGTACCGCGGGCACGCTAACGCAACGGCTTTGTCCAGTAGTCCAGTGGTCAGTGCACTGGGCTCCGAGTCGGACGACCTGGGTTCTAGTCCTGGCCGGGACAAGGCGTTGTGCCCTTGAGACGTGCGGGGAAAAAAAATGCGAGCTCCGCTTTTCGGCTTGGTTAAGTCTATATATTATTGACGCCTAAGAGTGAGTGGCATTAAATTCTCCCTGGAGTATCATCCCAGAATTAAACATTAATGTCACGAGAAAAACGGAAATGACCACTAACTAAGGAAGGTCTTGATTGTGAGACGAATTCTCTTAATCAGCACCCAAGGAAATGTATAGAGAACAGTATGGAGAATATGTATGCTGTTGTAAGAGTTTATTGAAAGGATTAAAACCGAGGGAGGGAGGGAGCAATGCACTTCTAATTCTTTATACCCCCCACCCCTCCCCCTGTTGGTTCCTCTAAATAAATGGCAAAATGACTGAAGCGAATGTATTTTTTCGTTTACAGTAAATGATGAATCATCATGACAGTGTCAATGGCTTTTAGCTCTAGTCATCAAAAGTGATATTACACAAGTTTTCCTTTTGTATCATTATCTTTTGCTGGATTATGTGGATGAACAAAATGGTTCATTATTTTAAAATTCTTGTCAATATTACATTGTTGCACCTCCACGTCTTCTGTTGTCGCAAAATCTTTTCTTTATTTCTTTTGGTGAAAATGAAAAATGCTAATCACATGCATGCAGACGAGATGAATTAATCGTTAATCGTAACAGTTTTTGTTAAAGAACAATTTCTGTTAATTTATTCGCCGTTTGCCGCGACTTGTAATTCCGTCAAAGTGTTATAAAAAAAAAGGCGATTATTTGTTTCTTGTTTTAGCGGAAGGAATGAACAACGTTCAGCAAAGATAAATTAAGCACCAGGCAATGCCATATCCGAAATAAAAGCTAATCAACAAAAGTTTCCGAAAGATTTAGAAACATCCAGAGAGTGAGCGAGAGTGAAGCCGAGGGACATCGGCTCAGTCATTTGTGCTTACTCTCTTTCACTTAGTTTTCGGCTCGGTTCGGTAATCTGCGAAAAACGCTTTAAGGCTCCCTAAAAGATTTCGTACAACAAAAGTCTGAATATAAAGAAAAACACAAAATCTTATTGTAGGCTGTATGATAAATATTTTACCCTTCATTTTTCTTGCGGTCCAACTCTTAAGCTCACTTTTAAAAAAGCATTGCTAATTGATAATCGAAATCTTAAACATGTCATCCACCGATTAAATTTTTTTACCATTTGAAAGATGCAGTAGAAAATTGTTGTCTGAGTGGAAACATTCTCAATCAGACGTCGTTTTGCGTTACCGAAAAATTAACAGCTTTTAACCATTAATTAACCCTCTGTGATCAGTTTTATCTCATATGACTGACCACACGAAATAAATAATTCATTTTAAACACACGGATTACCATTAAAATTATTTTCATTTCATTCGGTGGGCTGCCTTCTTCACGTATATTTTCCGTGTCCAATAAATACTTTATCATCCATGGAATTTAATCTTAGGGTTTCCTTTCGAAAACTCTTTGTGACAACGACACAATATTCAAAAAGACAAAAAAAAAAGCATTAGTTAAGCAATATTTCTAGCACACTCACATGATATCGTGCTTCGAAAAGTTCTTGCAGAAAGGGATCCAATTCTCTTGCTTCAATGTAGCCGTTACCTGAAATTAGAATTTCATAAACTGCTTGAGGAACTGTTTCTTTGTTTCCCTAAACGGGTCGTGAAGTTGTGAAATGAATAAAGCTATATAATACATTTGCGGCAAACGGTCGGAGTATAATTTACATGGTGATTGCTCGAGGACTGAATTTCTCCCTTGGAGAAACATTACGTGGAGAAAAACCGACATTGTTTTCCTTTCCGATCTAAAATGCGAGAAAGCAGCCAAAACATGATTAAACATTTTTTGAATCCACCCGTTTCATGTCAGCTGTGACTTATGCAAATATTGAGGTAGAATTTGATTGTATTGTGAACTCAATAATATTTTTTTCATAAATGCAGTGTTCAAGATTTGAGGAGTATCCCACTTTCAACCAGGCTAAATTCATGCCAACTTGGTGAATTTTTTAAGCAACATTTCCCAATGACCCTGCAATGGAGCTAAAACTGTGGAATTATATTTCAAGTTAAATTTTCTACGTGATGAATACTTATTCGGACTGGTTACTGTCACTTCCACCGATCTGCTCGGAAAATCCACCGAAAATTAAACATAGTCTGTTTCAAAAGTTCTCTTAGCCAGTGCTTGAAGAATTTAAAACGATATTTGGAAAAAAAAGAAACTCCCAAACGAATCGCACGAGAGGTGAGAGGGTTTCTGGACATTGACACGAAGATCTGCCAACGACTAGTTCGTACAGCTGCCCTCTCCATAGCCGCTTAAAATTATGCTTAATTAAAATACAGCTTACCATCTTTGTCGAATTTCCTAAAAACTTCCATAAACTCAGTCGATGTTAGCTGAGTTTTGCCATGATATTTAGTCACAAAAGGCTTCTTCGGTTGCGATGAGGCCATCTTGCGTGCGTCAAGAAACCCCACGGTAACTGGCGACGAGAGCTTGTCACAGACAGGGAGCTTTTCATGCAAATGTAAACAAACACCACTTTACCAGCTGACCGCGACAAATGATGTTCACACTTGAACAAAATCAATCGTTTTCGCCGATATTATTGGATGAACTTGACGAAAAATGATATATCGGAAAGCTCACCTATCAACTGCGGTTAGTTAGGGGCCTGGAATGAAATCAAATCAAGATCATACCGTGTGTTTATCGCGCTATAAAAATATACCGGAACTTGCAGTGCAGCATCATGAAATGGAATTTGAACTTGTTCGTGCTTATTTGAACCCGTGGGGTCGAAGGGATATAAAGTTGCACAATAAGTTTATAAACATTATCAGTGAAACAGATTCTTTGAATTTTCCTAGGACTTAAAATTGATCTAGAACGATGCCTAAGTATTTCAAAAATGAAAGTCTTCTTGAGCAAATTGAAAATCTTTTGAGTGATGAAATTAGCTTAAACAGTGATTTAACGGAGAGGGAATGACTGGCACGTGAGACGATGCGAGCTCTCTCGTAATTTGTCTGCCAACCGTTCGTTTTAAGTGCGTTATATAGGCGCCTGCCAAGCACCCAGATACGTCGTAAGGAGATAAAAAGGCGATCATTCTTAGCGTGTATGGATGTAGACTTCCTTCATCGGGCAGGAGATAGATCCGACCCCACCCCCTTCACACCTTCCTTTCGGTGGTACTCCCTAAATTTTGTAATAAATCAGCGGTTTAAGCTTTAAATGTGCTGCTTCCGAAGAGTGGGAAGATTGAAGCTTGAATTTTGAATATTGCTCCCCTAAAATTTTATGCCAATCTGCTGATTCACGATCGTTCGGATCGTAATTTTACTGATACCTAGGAATAACCAGCACGTCCAGTCAGGAGAGATTGGATGAAAACGTCGAAATAAATCAATCTGATTTAGTGGTTGTTTTAAGTTGTTGGCACTCGGTCCGCTAAAGTCGTGTCAGTATTTTCTTAGTAGGAAATAGGTCGGATCGGTTATGTTTATTTCTTCATGTTCTCTAGCACCCGCAGACATCCCATGAAAAAGTTTTGCTTAACTCTCCCCCGCTCCCCACGCTTGAATTCGCTTTGATTCAAGCCCAGCCTGTGGCCCTTATTTTGTTCGGGCTGTGGAAGATTATGCTTTGACTCAAAAACAGATGGTCTGTGAAAAGAGGCGACCAGTCACTGTCACACTTGTTGCATTCTGTAACATATGCTCTATAACGTGCGCTGCTATCAAAACAAGTTATTGTGACTAAGTTCATGTAAACGACCCACGTACCTCCGATACCTTATAGCGACCAATGTCTATTGCAGAGACAGCCTGAGATCTTCAATGAAATCTTTTCCGCCAAACAAGTTCAGGCTCAAACTTGTGGCATTTTGCCATGCTTAACTTACATAGCGTGACGTTTGGTAACGCCACATGCCGTGTTGTTCTCAAAAACACTGGAATCAAACTGAATGATTATGATTTATTATTTCTTTGGCGTTACAAAGAGTGCTCTATGGCCTACAGAGGCCAAATAATTGCATTTAGATATTAATGTTAAATTGGTATAACTATACCTCGTGCATAATATATTCGAAGCTTTAGCATTTCCCCCCGGACAACCCTCCCGAAGATGTCTACCTAGGGACCGAATTCGATGGTCAACCTTTTGTAAAAGGCAAGATCAGCGACCGTGGCTTTCTTGTGGTGTTTTTGCCAGGCGCCATCTGTTCTCAAAAGTTAACTTTTTACCTTTGAAACTTCCATATTAAAAGATAAAATACGTGTATTCCATTGGAAAGACTTCACACTTCTCGTTCAAATTTCCCACTCCACCCAGGCAAGGTTCAAATTCACCATCCCCGGACCCTCAAAATGCCTATGGGTTGCCCAGGGGGATGTTGAAGCTTCGAATTGATCGGCGCGTAGTTTTCTTACCAGGAACACTGAGTAAACAGTCTCTTGTCACTCTCCTGGGAATGACCTTTTGTAATAAGAACAAATTCATAACTAATTCAGGTTAGGAGGAAGCAAATTCGTCATGCTAAAAAAGACAAAAACAATTTCAGAACTGAGCCATAAATATTGCTGGCTGAGAAGAAAAAATACTACCTATCACATTTACTCGACTTGAATTGGAATTGAAATTTTTTCATAGATCACTAACTGCTCATGCCAATAACATCATTTTTAGCTCGTCCTTTCCGAGTTTTCCATCTTTGTTCTGGTCAAAACTGTCCATTATGCTGTTCTTGTAACCTTTGAGACAACGTGGGTCCTCCATGTCCTGCAAAAAAACAAAAACAATAACAATAACAGTACCAAAGCTTTCCCTCTCTGTCTCTGATTCTCTTTAATGATGAGGAGGAGCTTTCCTCCTCACGCGGGAAAATTTGAGGCGCGTCGGGAAGAGGTTTGTCGGGGTTCTGGCAAAAATGTTGAGGACTAGACCCCTTGAAGACCTCTCGCAGGCTTGCGTTGCTCATAAAAAGGCCTCCTAATTTCCTGCAGACGAAGAATCGTTCGTACTGAAGCTCTTATAATAAGGGAGTGCAGGCTTATGTGTTGGTGGGTAGAACTTTTTAAAAACCCGTTTTTTTAATGGCTACCTCCATGTCTATTTGCCTTTTTACCAGCTGTCTGTCACTCTGTCTGTTGAGCTCAGTATTGTCTTTGTTTTTCTGTATGTTCATCTGTCGGACGGCATAGTCCAAGCGATCGGATTCTTTTCTTTCAGTGGGTGCTTGTTTGCAGTCTGTCCGTTTATCTTAGTGTGCTTTTAACCTAAGAATTCCGCCGTCTAAACTCAAACTTTGTCTCCTAAGTTTGAACAGCATAATCGTAGCTGTCTGGAAACGTTGACGTCAAATACTTTTAGATCTTTTATATTCATGCACCATTCACTCACACACGTTACAAAAGTTTAGAGATAGAGAATAACTAAGAACGGTTTTAGAAGAAAACTCATTGCCTTCTGGTCCTTATCGAGAATGTCATAAAGGAGAGCCTCCAACTCCTCGTCAGCGATGAAGCCGTTGCCATCCTAAAAAAAATATAAGAACTATGATTGATCGACTGACAGATAGTACATTATTGGATACGTAATCTCGTACTCAGATCTTACCGTGTAATTGTAACTTAAATGTACAACTACTTAACCGTCTGAGTACGAGACTTCTGGATACCTTCTGATAAAATAACTAAGAATTTTCTACCTATAACCAAATCACCTTTGACATGATATTTTTTAGCCCGTTCTCTTCGGGAAAGGCAAAACCTCTTCGCCTCGTCTGACTCGCCCCGAGTCTTCTTTTAGCACTATTTAACACATACGCGCGAAGAGTGTTGGCTGCCTTCCCGTCACCCCTTCGTTGCGTCCTATTATGAATCGTTCCCATAAATCTCTTTCGCAGTTCCAAAGAGCGGGAATGAACCGGCGGAGGACTGGAGCCTCGCTAAGGACGAGGTGCACCATAGGAACACAACTCAAGGAACAAAAATAGTTACTCCTCAAGTTTTCAATGTGGCATCACGAGCATGGTACTTTGGTCTTCCAAACTGCCCCGCCATGAATTGACATGAACTATTACATAAGCGTTGTTCTATCTGCTTACCATTCTCTCTTTCGGCTTCACGGCTTCAATTTAATTGTAACAAGAACAATAATATCTAATGAGGAAAGCTAACTCACCAGGATGGTTTTCAGTGGAGCCCTCGATAATTTGCGAAACACCCAGCATGCACACTCACACGTGCAAACTTTCCCTTTAAACATGCATGTTATGTCAGCATTGTGGACCATTTTTTGGTTCTTACCTGATCATACTTGGACCATATCTCGTTAAACTTTGCTTCAGTCATGTCATCCTGAGAAAAATCCACGCAAAACCACAAATTAAACCGATACAGTTACATTGAATAATCACTCATATCAAATCTAACTTCATTTATGAAGTATTGTAAGTTATTACCCGGCCAAACTTCAGCAGAAAGTTGACTTCAACAGGAAGTATCCTGCAATAAAATTAAAAAAAAAAAATTGTATATCATAAAATAAAACTTGAGGTAGGGAATACAAGTAGGACGGATACTGCATGAAATGAAAAACCATAGTTTTCCCATAAAATTTCTCCACAATTAAAATTTAGGGTCCATTTTACTGATACCAGCCAGTAGGTACTGTTAAGTTACATATTGACTCACTTTGACATTTCCGGTAACGACAGCTTTCCGTCTTTATTTTTGTCAAACAAATCCAACTACAACAAAAATGTCATAAATCATAAACGTTGCGACATTCAGCCAATAAATCACTATTTTCAAAATAAAGCATCGTTGTGATATTTAAATAGCTTTATCACGTGAACCGCACAGACGAAAAATTCCATTGGTTTCCAATGCGGCGTAAATTTGGCAGGGTGAAAAAAAAAAAAAAAAAAAGGGGGTACGTGAGGCATGCTTCATCCTAAACGACTTTGATAGTACAAAGAAGGGACTGCCCATATTCAAAGAGAGTGCAAAACTCGATTACCAGAACACAGCGGTCAAACGTCGATCAATCACCGTTCATGAAATTAGCCCGCACTCATCATTCCATCACGGAAATGAATGAGAGGAAATCAACCCTGATAGCAACCAACATAATAATCTATTACACACTGAAATAAAGTCCTTTGAGTAATTTTAATATAGCCATAATCAATAAAGTCATGGTGGTTAGGAGCCCATGAACATGGGAGATGGGCTCCAGTGGTTGGTCTCAAGAAAGCCTAAAATCTTAGAGTTATCATTTATATTTATTGCATTACCATGGCCTTTTGATAATCAGTGATTCTTTGAGGATTCAGTGATTGTCCATCTCTGCCAAGTAGATCTGTTAAGAATCCCTAACGAAGAACATGAAGCCAAAAGTTTGAGTGAATACGCTTGTCTTTTGAACTTCGCCTATTCCAATCACTGGTCCTCACATCCAGAGAATCTGAATATACCCCAGAATAGTGGAGTTTATAATATATTTTTGTTTGATTAACAAATAGAGAAGCCTCGACTGTTCTCTGTTCTGTTGTAAAGCACGCAGGAAGCGGTTCGAGCACGAAAGAAGTGTAAGGAGAAACACAAGACGTAGTCGAGTGTTTCTCCCCACTTCTTGAGTGCTCTAACCGCTTCATAAGTGCTTTACAAGAGAACAGAGCACAGCCAAGGCTTCTCTATTCGTTTTAAATCCGTGAAATTCCCCGCGCATTACTTTCAATTTTTAAAATAAGTTTTAATTCTAAAGCGAACAACAATATCATACAATAAGCCAATCAGAATCGTTGTTGTAATAGTTCAAATAATCTGATTGGCCGTACAAGACTAAAGCTGTCAAAAATGTCAAACCATCAAAGTTCAAAAACCATCGAAGTTCACATTCTGCAATTGTTTACAAACTTAAATAGTTTGGCAAGTCGAATCTAACACTTTTGTCTGAAGTTTTTTAGTCTTTAATACAGAATGTGGAGGTGAAATGTTCAGTGAAATCCGGCCGTATTGTGGCTTACAAAAACACGTAAGTATTTTCACTTGACAAATAGTAAACAAACTGCTCAAGGCGAGTTTTACGAATGAACGACAGCCCGCTCTTTCAACCAGTGACAGCGCGCGTTATATCCGAACTTTATTATAATAATGGTTATGAGATAAGACCATATATGGTTCAGCAGCGTCTTGTTACAACCTGCTGATTACGAGCAGCGCGTGGGTGGAGCGGCGCGAGAAACGTGTTTTTGAACGAAGTCCGACATAAGTGGTACACTGGGAGAGACATGGTTTAGGCCTCTTTTGGTGATTATTGTCGGTAGGGGTGAAAAAAAAATAAAACTCAAAACGTGCATGTCGCACCAGAGGGGCAGGAATATTTTGACGGCTCACAACTAATAGGTTTCATGAATTCATAAAATTTTTGTTCAAACCACTCGTCGAGAAATAATTGCCTACTCCTTATGACCATTTTCTCCTGTAATTTTCATTCGCCTAAAGATTAATTTTAAGAATCCGTACCTCCAACTCGTCACTCTCGATGAATCCTGAGTGATCCTGGTCATAATGGTTCCACACCTTAAAAAATGGTCAGCAATGATTAGAATGATCCTTTGATATGATAAATAGAACTTTCGCTGTAAATTAAGATGCTGCGTCCCTCTCGCAAACCTTAATCCTTTAAAGCCCAAGAGTGATAAGCATCTAATTTCTCCCAATGGTATCAGCCCTAAATCAAATATCAATTTTATGAGAATGAGGGAAATGATCACAATATCAAAAGGCTCTCTTTAGAGAACTTAGATATTGGCGTTAGCATGTACAGGGTTAAACAAATAAAGAAAGGTGAATTCTTTTACAAGGAAGGGAAACGGTTAACTTGAAACTTAACAGAACTCATTTGATTCAACAAGATTCTCTGAGTAAAATGCGAATTCAAACAATAAATAAACTGTAGTTTAAAACCAACTTTTTTCATTTGTTTTTCAGACCTGGAAATAAGTGTATGTACAAATTATTTTGATGCTGGCTGGATCTCTATCAACTGCTCAAAATGGAGTTATAAAGGTAACTTTCAAACCTTGAAAAAGTCAACAGTAGTTAAGGTGTTCGCGTGTTGGAACTTGGCCAAGAAATTTTCCTCGGTGGGCAGGATATTAGCTAGCTGTTAAGAAAATACATAAGAAAAAAATTCAAGTATGTCTGGACTACTCTACTGATTAAAGCTTTCAATTTACAAAGAGATCGATTTTTACTCACTAAGCCTTCCTTCTTCGAAGGCCGTGAGCACTATGTTCCTGTAAACCTTCCCCCAAAACCATTCACGGTTTTTAAAATGGCAGACTATCGTGTCGACTTGTGTAATCTGGTTCAGCTCCGACACTGGGTTTGTACAAAATACATTTGATGCACATTTAATGCATATGCCTGTTCTATTAATTTCCTGCCCTGTCCCCGGCCTTTCAATAAACCATTGAATAAACTCTACTCTAATCAAGTCCTCCTCTTCTCACAATTTGGCATCGACAAGAGCTGTTCATTAACCCCTCAGCATTTTACACCACATTGCTTTTTTACTGTCATACTCTACAACTATAATACAATAGGCACACGCAATTACAGACTGCCTTTTAATATCCAGTGTTATTAGGCACGATGTAGGGTTGGACCCGAATAACAACTTGGGGGGGGGGGGGGGGGGGAGTGCACCTTCGTCCACACGACCTTTCATTTTCTTTTTTTCAGATAAGTCCTCATGAAGGACGAAGGTACTGAGAATTCAAATGAATCTATCTGTCGTTGAACAGTACATTGTCGTGCATTTGAAATTTTCCACCTCGTGGAAGTCAGCCAAAGCAAAGAGATAGTGAACTTACTTCTTCCAGATCAAGTTTGCCATCAAAATTATCATCGTATTTCTCAAGAATTGTCTTCTTCATCTGTGCAATTTCATTCGCGTCTGGATTGCCCTGTATCAATGAAAAAAACTTCGTTATTATCTATTAAAGGACTAGAGGAAATTGTGAAAAAGCGTGATCTTTCAGATTGACGTTTTGGTCTTATTTTCTCGCCATCTGTTTGTCGTGTTTTCGTCTTTGTTTTTTCCTCGACAAAACTTAGAAATACAATCAGACATTATTCCTGCAAAACTATTGATTGAGACAGATGTTATGACTGGCACAATATTGATATAGTAGCGCTTGATGTGGAAGGAAAATCATCAAGGATTTAACTTGGGATAGTGTCGCTGCAGAATACGAAGATCCACACACAATTTATACACGCAATTCAGTTTTTTAGCCGGAGTGTTATTTTAGTAAAAATATCTATCTACTTCAGTAAACTTTATACGGCTGTCGGTGTAGTGGGCCGGGAAAGTCATAAAGCTGTTAAACCCCTATTGGAGACCCTCTAAACCTATCTTTTAAGAATGAGTCAGAGGATCAAACATAATATCTCATTTACGATTTCGTTTCCGGTAAAACGAACGAGATTTGGGTCAAAAATTTATGATGATATTAGAAAATGAAAGAATGAAAGTTGTACCCCTTTGTTTTCCTTCGCCAGAGCAACGAGGAAGTCATCCAGTTCACCAGCATCGATGAAACCATTTTCTAAGATGTAAACGAAAGGGAGAGATTAAAAAATAATAATACATAGTTTACATCGCTCCAGAAAGCATCGAGTAATTAAATGCGAGGAAAATGCTGTGAAGTAGGTTTATTTTAATTACACATAGACCTAACACCGTGGTGTAGCTCATGAATTATTAATTATACAGAGGAGATCATGTGATTCAGGTAGAGCTTATTCCGATATATCGCACAAGTAAGTTCTCTGGAAACTTCCGATTCTCGAGTGCACTGGTGACATGGCTGATTAAACACTTCGCATATAACGGGTGACATATTTTGAAATGTTCCCTCAATGAATAAATAAGCGATCACCAACGCTAGATTCGCGCTTCTAACAAATAATTTTGTACTGTCCGAGCATATATAAAGCTTTTGTTTTAGTTTGCGAAAAAAGCCAAATTGACACCATAATTGGTTGTGTTTACACTCGATCCTCCATGCATAAGGAGAATGACAGCTTTTATGACTCTTCATAGATTTTGTTTTTATTTGTCACTTTTTTTCGTTAAGGTATTATCATAGTTCTTGTATTACTTTGAAGCTTACATCTTTATTTGTCATACGGCTCTCCGCTACTAAAGGCGTTATCATCGGAAAAAATATGGTACATCTTTTTTTCACCTGGCTTCGTATGTTAATATTTCGTATTTTTTTTACCTTTGCTGCATCTCCTAGGTGATGTTCTAGATAAATTCAAATACACTCTACGTTTGACAGCTTTTTCCGAGACAGAGAAATAGCTCTGAATACATTATCGATAATCTGCATGTCAAACGTGCGTGAATTTAAACAATTCCACACAGGCTTATCTTTAATTTCTTTTATACTGATTTGTGACAGTTCATTCTCGACAATATGAGACGTAGTTTTATCATAATTCTTCAATCTGAAAACTTGTATTCAGCTTAGGACTCAATTTTCCCCCAAAAACAACAGAAGTCGACTTTACACTTTCAAAAGATCTGGCAAATATTACATCATTAAAACGGCACTGAACTGCTCTGAAGCTAGTTTAAAGATATTTTAATTGGTTTTTAACAGTCGTGTCAAAGGGTTTTTGTATGGTTCATGTTTATCTCGGATGTTGATGAGGCAATACATGTCTTTTCCTTCGGCATAACCAGATAAATTAAAAATGTTCCTGTTTTGCCACGATATATTATTTATGCGTCTATGGGTGTGGTGGTGAAAACGCGAAATCATAGTAAACTTCATTAGCGTTAATTCCTGATATGAAAAAAGAAAGTTATTATGTACAAAGGACACAAGTATTAGCAAATCTGAACTTTTTAAGGGTATCGTATGACTAAAATCCACTTGGAAGAATCATGGATGAAAGTTAATCCTTTGTTACTCATTAAAAATTTACAACCTTTAATTCTTAAAATCATGGCTAACCTTAGCAATATCCGCTATCTACCTGCACAGAAAACGCAATGCATTTTCAAGCCAAAGCGATAAAGTGGGACTGAAGCCTGAACGAAAGGATTATCGTTTATTTGTTTTATTCAAGTCCCAAATTTTTTTCGAATTATGAGGGAATCGACAAATTAACCGCAGCGAAATGAATAATTCAAGCTCAGAAGCGTAATTATTTTTTTTGTCACTTGGCCCAGTGGCGAGAAAGAAATTCTCTTCAAGTGAGGTGAACTGTTGTGCTCTAGGTTATGCTAATTATTGTCAGCACAGTGTCCCCGAGAAACAAAGATACTGAAGCACATTTGCATTAAAATAAAGTATCTATTTTACAGGGCAGAGACTGAATGGATGTACCTTAAAATTTGTTTCCTTTTCATCGGACTTGCATATTCCTACCAATGATCAGTAACCTTTGTTGTGTTTGTGTTTAATTTTCTATCTGCATTATGCCTTTATACGGTTCACGCCTCTACTCAAATCTACAGAATTTCTTTTTCTTTGAGTTGTCATTAAAGCTGATTTAAGCCTATAAATTTCGCGTCAATTTTACAGCACACGCCGTTCGTCATCTAAACAATCTGGTTTACCGACGAAAAGAGCAAAAATAATGCACTCTTGCGAGAAATGTGGGAAGAAAAATCTACGCCGTGAAAAAATTCGACTGTTGGACGGCCTCGCATGCTAAACCTTCAACTGTTTGCTCTCCAAATTGATGGCAATATTTCAAAAATACTCACCGTCTGTATCAAATTTCTTGAAAATCTTCAGGAAATCAGCGGAAGTAATCTCTGACTTTCCTTGAAAACTCTTCACAAATGGCCCCGGAGAACTTTGATCGGCCATCTTTCCAGAAACTGGTTAAAATGAATGGTAAACACCAGCCGTTAGCGTCTTAAAACCAAGTTGCATAAATTAAGCTGCACCGTTCTTTCTTAAATGACAGTTGGCTTAATTGTATTTTATTGTTCCAATCAACGCAAGCCTCGAAAAAGAAGCTCAGCTTTCTTCCGATTTTGAATAATTAAGCTGCATTATTTTCCTTCTTCCTCCGGTTTTAATTGGTTTTATAATCAAGCGAGCTGGATCATTATAACATTTGACCGCAATATTTATACTCATGCAAGCAGCACATACCGCCGACAGTTCTCTGAGCGTTTTCCGTCTCACCTGTGCGCCTACAAGTACCTCTACATTAACATATAGATTAGTTTTCCTACAAAGTTTCCTTTTCGCACTGGTCAATAGCCATCAGTACCTCTATATAACCAATCAATTAAAGCCACGAACTAACAATCGCACGTCGATCAATTTAACTTTCAAACCTTTATATGCGAAGTTTTTATCGAAAATAGCTGCATGTAGCAGAGCTTATCAGTCGTCGAACAGGTGCAATTTAACATGTGCATGATAATAATGAGAATATTATTGATAATAATAATAATAATAATAATAATAATAATGGGATTATGATAATAATAATAATAATCTGATTTTATCGCATGATTTCTGCTAACGAACCTGTTTATAACCCCGCATAGATGGACTAAAACTTTTTCCTAGAAATCTCTGATAAACTAGGGTTGAAGGCTGGTGAAAAACCATCGTAAAAGCAATATAAAAAAACCCCAATAGATACACATATATTGACAGTGTCTAAAAAAATGAAATATGTTTCTCTGTCCCACGCTCGGGACAAGAACAAAAATATCTTTCACTATTTCTTTACCGAGCTCAAAGCTTACTATCTTTCTTATTCTATTTACAAACATGACGCTATCAATATTGCTGATCCTAGCAGGATGCAGAACGCTTGTCATATGAACTTCGTAATGCGCTCACCATAGAGTCTCTGTGGCTCAGTGGTGGAGCGCCGGAGCGCGGAATTCGGAGGTCGATTCCTCATGGGGACTCAGAATTTTTTCTTTGTCCTACGCTCGTGACAAGATGAAACAAAACTTTCACTATATTTCAAAATTGTTAACAAAATTAAAGGAAACTTAGAATCACCGATTTGACATGTTTGAAATTACTGATTCGCAGCCTATTATCTTGTATGTATGTGAAAGGATGAAAAGCCATCTAACCAAGAGATAATAAATATTTTTCTCTTGATCTTACCTAAATCAATTGAGTTGCTTATTCAGCAGCCTAGATTCCAGGTTTCATGTTGAGGAAAACACAGAAAGCATGGCCTGATCTAATAGGTTCTGTATCTCGTCTGGAAGCGAATCTCGGAGTGCGAGTATAAGTAGAAACTAATCTCGAAGAGAGATAGAGATGTCTTTGAAAAACAATGCAGAAAAACAGCTCTGTAGCTCTTCAAGAAGTGAATTCTAGAGTCTAGCTCCACGAATAATGAGCAATTGTTACGCAAAGTCAGTTTCGCATGCATTCTAAAAGTCTGGTCTTAAGGCTGTCTATGATGTACTTAAAATCTCTCGACGGGAACTCGCCCAGTTTATTGACGAATAAGCGAGAGATAACACAAATGTTTACCCTGTTAGACTTCACAGTAAAATTACGCCTCCAGGTCATAGCTTAACAGACAGGCTATTAGCTCATACTGGAAAATCACCTGCTTGTTACTAACATTTTACGAGGCGTACCTATATATAGGTTATATGCAGTAGTATTATATGCAACCCAGCTGAAGGGATAAATTACTTCAGACCCTATTCAGATTAAGCCAGATTAATTTTAAAATTTCCCACTTTTGACCGGTTCGACCACGGTCAGTTTTGCTGTTTTCATCAGATTTATTTATTTTTCGAGCAGAATTCGACAAGTCACGTAAAGATGACAAGAGGAGGAAGCGGGTGGCCAAATCGCCGGTACGATAGTAAGACCTTTATATGCGCATGCTCAAGGTGATCGTGAGGAATAAATACATTGATCCATTTTCTAATTTGGACGGAAAATGTGAGAGGAAAAATAATTTGTTTCCATTAACTGGCGATGGTAAGAGGACTGAGTGGAAGGAATGTAACTCGGTCTGTAATCATACGAGTGATTTACAAAATCGGGAGTCCGATTTATTAATGACGAGTATTATTACAGACAGAACTGGGTTACACGACGTCCTGTTACCAATTACTTAAACTGTTACAACTTCCGAACTTTGGAAATAAGGCAAAATTAAAAATGGGTAAAATACCTCCGGTAGAGACATCGTCTGAAGTGAAAAATTCTTCTATTTTGGAATTCCCCAGTTTTGTAGGTATGGTTGCTATGGTTATTGTATTCAATTCTGTAATAGGTGGATCAAGCTGAGTCGATTTAGTATGATTCGCTGCCTTAACTGTCCGGTTACACTATTCGATTACAACTATACAGAATGATTGGTGAAATAAAGCAGCAAATGCACCAATCACATTTCACAGGAAACTGTAATAGTTAACATTAGCGCTGCAATTGGTGACATAATTTTTCATACAGAATGTTACAATAACAGAACAGGGCAAAGAAACAAATGTCACTCGAATAAGTGACTCTTGGCTTCGAAAGATTTCTCATCCTCCCTTCTCAAATTAGCTCTTAATATCTCGCATCAGAACTACAAAATTTCATCGTCTTTTTTATCATGAAAACTCACTTCTTAGGAATAAGGAGATTGTTTTGGACTCTGAAAATACTTAGAATGTCGCGTAAAATCTCAGCCATTTTAGTCTTGAAGAAGAATTCTTGATAGTCATTAACATATAGTATCCGTGGGATTTCCGTGGAATCTTAAAGGTTTGTGGCCGACAAAGTCTTGAAAAAAATCTAAACTCTGTTTGCTATGATTTGAATTTATGATTTGAATAGCCGTATATACCCAATAAAATGCCGCTTTCTTGGGTAAATACCACAAACAGAAGAAAATCATCCATAAAGGTTGCTATCGAATAAAACGCCGCAACCAATGAGAGGAGTGCGGCGTTTATCCAGGGATTGTAACAAAAGAAATGGCAAGTACATTTAAACTCTGTTATGTTCATCATCCTTGGAAATTCCTATGACATATTGGACCTTAAAACACGTTTTTGTTTGATATAACATTTACACATAATTTACTGACATTTTTGTCAACAATCTGGGAAATATCATTTTTCGCTGACCGCCGTCCTTAAATGACAGCTGCATCGGAAACGCAAACAATTTGATAAGCGACTCGGCTTTCCACCGTGCAAATACGGAGGAAGAAGTTAATTGCTGATATCCCCGAGGGGGTGGTAATAAAAACACATCGTTATTGCGGAGTCATTTATCTCTGACAAAAGAACCGGTCCGTGAACATTGTACTTAAGGTGAAGGTGAAGAACCGTTTCCAAAAGCTTTGGCTGTGTTCCTCTTGGTTGATGAATACGAAGACCCTGCGAACTGTGGGTACAACTGGGAGTAAGACTAATTAGAGGAGCAATTTCCAATTGAGTGTAGAAAGTGATCCAAGATTGCTTTGCCAGTTTCGCTTTAACTCGTCTGCTCGCGATGTAATTGGTCCAGAAACTCCCTGTAACTAATCGTATTCAAAGCTAAAAGCAGTCACGCCTTAGTCAGTCGCGTTTTCCTGCACTTCAGCCGCGCGGTTTACTCGCGTTTGCTTTCAGAGTTCTCATTGGCTCCTCGTGATTTCCTATTTTTCCTTTGCTCAGCTCGGCTGTTGTAACCATTTTGGATATCAAAATGCGCCCTAGGTGACATCATTTCGCTTCGATTGACATGCGAGGAGCGGGTGAGACAAGAGTAAAGATTGCAAAAATTCAACGAGATATAAATATATATTTAAACAATCCTCCACTGAACCACGGCGAATTCGATGACACTCATTGGATCCCACGAAACCTCAGAGTCCGCTCGGTAAAAGGGTTTTTATCTTACACAACGCTGGAAAAAAATTCTGGACTTATTGTAATCGGCTGGAGAATAACTGTCACATGGTTAAAAAAAGGTTACTTTGAAAAAAGGAAAGCCAACATTGTCGAGTGGGGACCGAGAAGAGCCTGTCTACGTGGCTGGTTTCATGTAGTCGGAAAGTCTCGGTTGATTCTGTCCAACGGTACGATTCTCTACAGGCTATCCTCGTTTTAAAGGACATCTGAAAATGAAAAACCACTAAAATGAAAATAAACTTCTGCGTACATTAGAGATAGATGTTACTCGATGTGTAATATGCTTACAATAAAGAAAAAAAATGGGACCCGCTGTGAAGAACGAGCCCTTCATTATAGGATTTCAGCCCAGATGCCGTCTCTCCCACAGTGCAGTGCAGCCGAAGTACCATTGCCATCAGAAAATAACAAATAAAATAAATAAATAAATAAATAAATAAAGACGAAGGAGAAGAAGAAGAAGAAGAAAAAAAGCTTAGTTTGGCTTTCTTTCAAAGTTGCTCTAGGCCAGTTGATATAGTAGGCTAGAAAATGCAATTTTAAAAAAGTCTAAAAATTTTGCACTAGCCACAACATGAATTGAGTTGACTAGCAACTTTCAGTGCGTTTTTAATTTGGATCCTCCTCCCTTTTATTGTGATATAATTCTCCTTATAATAAATTTTTTATTTTTGTGGTCATGCTGATAAATAGTCTATCACGGAACCCTTCGAAAATGAAATGATAGATGCGTTATTTCCCAAGTAATGCGTTTTTGTTTTACTGCGGTTTTATTGTGTTGTATTTTGTTTCAAAACTTAAAACTCGAATTCGTTTGAGAAGGTCTTTTGGTGATATTTTCCTGTGTCCTATTTAGCCTATAAAATGAGGGGGAAGAGCGCAGTAAATTGAAAGCGATTTAATCTCCATTAAAAAAAATTCAATTCTCGGCTGGTGCCTTTGCAGAGGTTGAGACAAGTTCATTACTCAAATCAAAGATGAAAAAAGAACACAATAACGCATTATTCTAGTACCCGCAAATTACTATCTGTCCTGTTTGTAATTAGCAAAAG